CCCCCCCCCAGACACGGCAGAAGGGTGGAGGGGTGCATGACTGCCTGGCTGGCTGGATGGGCGGATAGGTAGGTAGGTAGATGAAACAGGGTGGATGGGGAGATGGATGGACAGACAGACAGACAGAGAGACGGATGGGCAGACAGGCGGATGGACGGGTGGATAGATACAGACCAGCCATCTAGGAGCTTTTCTCCCTCTGAGGCCACCCCTTCTCTGAGCTTGATTGATATTTATTTTGTCCTGGCTGGCTGGATGGGCGGATAGGTAGGTAGGTAGATGAAACAGGGTGGATGGGTGGATGGATGGACAGACAGACAGACAGAGAGACGGATGGGCAGACAGGCGGATGGACGGGTGGATAGATACAGACCAGCCATCTAGGAGCTTTTCTCCCTCTGAGGCCACCCCTTCTCTGAGCTTGATTGATTTATTTATTTTGAGACAAGGTCTCAGTGTAGTTCAGGTTGGCCTTAAACTCACTGTGTAGTCCAGGCTGGCCTCAAACACGCAGTGATCCTCCTGCTTCAGCCTCGCAAGTCCTGATTACAGTGTCCACCACCACACCTGGCTGGATCCCTACTTTAGCATGACGCCCTCTATACACAAGTCATGTCCTGTCTGGGGAGGAGCTCCTGGGAGCCAGAACCCGGCCTCCTCACCCCATGAAATTCTACAGCCCTGGCTCTACAAATGTTTGTTGGGTTGGCCCAATCTTAGCTCCTCTCACCCTCTGCCCCTCCTTTCTCCTACATTCACATACTCCCTCCTTAACAATACTGGCAGAGTTTTTAGGGTGAAGTAAAGACGGCACTGCTGGGTACGGTAGCACACACCTGTAGTCCTAGCACTCGGGAGGCTGAGGCAGGAAGATCCCTATGAATCCAAGACCAGCCTGAACTATATAGTAAGACCCTGTCTCAAATAAAGAAAAGAACAGAAATAAAGACGATAGAGAAGAGATCCCAGCGGGTGTGTGCAGGACAGAGAGGGGATGACAGATGACAGAGGTGCGGCTGGGCTGTCACAGAAAACAGTATGCTGGGCCATATTCATTCTTCCTTTATGTAAAATTTGAGTGAGAACCTAAGAGATTCCAAGCCCTGTGCCAGGCTGGGGACCCTGTGGGAAGACAGGTGATGGCAGGAGAGCAGGAGGAGAGAAGCTGAGTCCGCCAGTGAGTCCACAGTGACGTCCGCCGGAGCTGTGAAGGGGTCTGGTCAAGCGTGGATGGGCACGAGAGCCGGGGGAGCTCCCTGAGACGCTCAGGGGGGACAGAGGGGAGCCCAGCACCCTCAGCTGAAGTCCGGAGCGAGAGGCCAAGGTGGCACGAGGAGCGGGTCCCCAGGGGCGGGAGCTGTGTCCCAGCAGGTGGCCGTGGGAGGAGCCGGGCACCACAGGAGGGCAGCCTCAGCTCCAGGGACCGGATGGGGTAGTCCCGCCAGGCCCCAGCAAACCATGCTCCCTGCCTGACCTGGCCTGGCCTCAAGTATCTGCCGCCGCCGAGACTCCTTCTGGTGGAGAGGGAAGCTGGGCAGGGAGGCCTGGAGGGAGATGTGGAGTAGGAAGGGTGTGTGGCCCCCACAGGCGCCTCCCAGTGCCCTTCCCCCCCCCCGTGTTCCCGGACAGCCACGCTGAAGCCTTTCACAGGTAAAGCTCGGCTCAGGGCTGACGCACGGCGCGCCCATCACTATGAGTGGCGGTTGCTGCTGTGCTGCAGGGAGAGAGCCTCCCGTCCCCAGGAGTATGTAAGCGTGTAAGCAGAGTGCCGGTGCAGCCTGCGTGAGGGGAAGGATCTGACTCTCAAAGGCCTCCCAGCTTCCTTCCTTCACGCCCGCCCACGAGCGGACCCTGGCGCACAGCTGAGCGCTGAGGCAGAGCGCGGGCAAAATGTCAGAAATTTCCCCAAAACATGGAAGGGCGGGGTATGGGCTTTTCGGTTTCTCTGTTTTTTTGGTTTTGTTTTTTTTTTTTCTTCTGCGGCGTACCCGGAAGCACAGGTCAATAAAACTCTTCCCAAGGCGCTGCCCCCTCCTGGACATCTGGCGTCCAACTCTGAGCCCTGAGCCAGCTTCTAAGTGAGGGAGAATGGGAGCCACAGCTGGGTCAGGGGACCGGCTGGTGGCTAGGACAGGGCCCCGAGGAAGTCACAGGGCACTGGGGACACAGCAGTCGGGGAGAAGTGTGTGGGAACCGGGTCGCCAGTGCTGAGCTTCACAGAAGGAGTTGGGGGCTGCAGCAGGTGGGGACAGAGAACCCTGGAGAGACAGGCGGGTGCGTGGGCCCAGAGCCTTGAAGGGTGGAGGGAGAAGGCTCTGGAAAGGCACCAAGGGGCCTTGCTGTAAAAACAAGCAGGGAGGATGGGCACGGTGGCACTTGCCTGTAATTCTAGCACTTGGGAGGCTGAGGCAGGAGGATTGCCATGAATTGGAACAGACCCACTAAGATGACAGGCCAGTGGGGGTAGCGCTGGAGGGGTGAGGGGACTGGGGGAACCAATAAGTCCCAAGCACGGAAAACAGCAGGAGGACCCAGCTGACTGCCCTCTGAAATCAACGTGAAACCGTTCAATGGGCAGGAAAGACCAGTAGAGTCCTGTGGTCCCCCTCAGCTCCTGGGACATCTCCATGGAGACAGCAAATATCCAACCGTTTCTGCAAGCGCTCCCCACCCCTGGGCTCTGGTGGCCTGGGCTCCGGCCACATCACCCCGGGACGTCGGCCGCACCAGGTCTGGGGCTCCCCGAAGGCCCGTGTGTCACTTCCCTCACACAGAGTGACAGGAGGACAAGGGTGGACAGATGTCCCCACCCCCGCCCTCTCAGGAAGCCCTCCAGACGCTCGCAGAGGCAGCCCCTACAGACTTCCTCCCACCTCCCAGTCACTCCCTCCACCACCTCTGTTCCCCCGAGATCGGAGACCGCGACATGTCGGTTCCCACCCCTCCACGGCCACTGCATGGGCCTTGGGGCTTTTGATGATAACCACAGGGGACCTGAATGCCTCATGACCTTGTTCTCCTTGCTCAATGCCTTGGGCCTAAGTATCATTTGGAGAATGTTCCCAAAAGCTTTCCCGCTCCCTGCTCCTAGCATCATTCACCGGGGGACAAGCATGAGATCTGGGCTGAAGCAGTCGGGAACTACACAGGGTTTCCAGGCCCAGAAATGAGGGGCCCTTGGGGGTCATGGGCGAGCCAAGCTCTGGGGCCATGGGGCTCCGGCCCCAGCCAGCTTCACACGTCCCAGCTCTGTGACCTCAGGCCAGTTACCGAACTGTGCAGGGGCCCCAGCAACCTCAGCTACAAAATGAGACTAAAAAAGGTAACGGCGACTCATGAGATGACACCACTCCCGAGGTCCCAGATGACTACACTCGGCGAGCGTTCACCAAGAGGTAGCTGTGAGTGAAAACAAAAACTCACCAAGAGGGACTTTTGCAGCAGTTGCAACAAACCCAGCCTCCTGATTCATCCAGCCCTACTCTTCCACGGTCCGGGGACTCTGTGACTCTAGAGATGGCTCTCAGAACCTACCAACCTCTCCTGCCAGGGAGAGAGATCTTTTGCAAAAGGGAGGGGGACCAAGAGGTGGAGGGAGGAAAAGGGAAAAACAGAATTCAGATGTGGTCCAACTGCCCAAGAGGAGTGGGTTCACTATGTACTGCAAACGTGCACTAACTAAAAACAAACAAACAAACAAAAAAAAACCACTGTCAGGCCGGAGATTTGGCTCAGTGGTGCCACTGCCTGCCTCGAAAGCACAAGGACCAGAGTTCGATCCCCACTATCCCCCCCAACTCTGCCGATGACTTTCAGGTGTTTTTCCACGCTCACCAATGCCCCTGGTGGGGTCATAACCTGAGAGCAAAGATCCGCACCTTGTCCCCACCCCGGGCCCCCACTCACCTGGGGGACAGCGGTAGCAGCACTGCCTGGCAGCCCTGTCGTAGTAGCGGCTGGGGTCTCTGGCGCAGGTGGCCATGAGGGGTCGCTCCTGCAAGGCCAGAGAAGCTGGTAAGACCCGGGCACCTGACATCTGCCCTCCCTCCACCCGTTCCCTTCTTGGAGGCCTGGTGTCCACCTGCTGCAGAGTCAAGCCTGAGACCCAGGGCACGAAGGGGAATCAGGACAAGAACTCCTAAGTCCCCTCGTCCTGCAGCCATGCCACCCCTGGACCATCGATCCCACTGGGCACCAGTTACTGTCCCCTGCCCTGGATCAACATGTGCCACAAAGGCCCCTGCTGACCTAACTTCCACACAGCAGATCGGTTTTATCTGCTTTTGCACTGGACAGAGAGAAAATGATAAAGTCTCTTCTCTTGCAACCGGCTTCCTTAACTCAACCTCATACGGTGAGAATCATTTGCACTGTTGCAAAGAGCAGGTGGCCAGCCGAGAGCACAGCTTTTGGGCATGTCGTTCAGGCCAACCTCGAACTCACTATGTAGCCCAGGCTGGCTTCGAACTCTCCAAAACTCTCCTGCCTCAGCTTCCCAAGTGCTGGGGTCACAGGTGTGTGCCTACACACCCAGCTTGTGTGCTAAATTTGTATGTCAATTTTTTTAAGTAGGTTGCCTGCCCTTTCTTGTTGCTATCTTTACATGTTCCAGGTACAAACCCTCTGTTGGTTGCACCTCCTGGAAGCAGCTTCTTCTGTTTCAGCCTTTCCCTTTCCTTAATGGCGTCTCTTGATGAACAGCTGCTTGTAGTTTTAATACAGTATACCTCATCGATCTTTTCTTTTTGAGTTAATGTCCTTTTTTTTTTAATCCAGGGTTTCATGCATGTTAGGCAAGCACACTAGATGGAGCTACACCTCCAGCCCTTTTTGTTATTTATATTCTGAGACAGGGACTCAGTAATTTGCCCAGGTTGGCATTGACTTTGCGACTGTCCTGCCTCAGCCTCCCCAGAAGCTGATGCCCTTTATAGCTTGTCCTAAGAAATGCTTTGTATCGTTTAGGTGCCCTCCCAAATGATCTTCTAGACAGTGTGGCTTCAGCTTTCATATTCAGGGATCTCCTATGGGGTGCAACGGAGGTCTTGGGTTTTTCTTTTTCAGATACCCCCAACATGTTCCTAGGGTTCTTTGAACACTGAACTCCGTCATTAGGTTCAAAAGCAGAAAAAGTTCTCTGTTGGGGTCCCGGGGAGGAATCAGGTAATTCCTAGGGAATGACAGGAGAGAGACCCACAACGGGGAACTCTGGGAGGGGAGGGAGCCGGGCCCCAGACCCTGTGCTCTGCCTTCTGCCTCCAAGGCGCTGCTTGGCAGAGAGGAAGGACCTCCTGTGGGATGTGGGGCTCTTGGCTTGGGGGAGCATAAGCCTCCCCCCAGCTGGTTTGGAGGCCCACCTGGCTCAGCTGCACACTGGGAGAAGTGCGGAGACTGAGCTGAACCCTGGTGCATTCAGAGAGCAACAAAGGGCGGTGTGGCCGGAAGGGGTGCGGGGGTGGTAATTACATCATTCTTTCTCACTCTCTTCTTCTGTCACGTCCAGAACACATCACCGCATTCACTTGAAACGACAGATATAACCCAACTTCTGAGGCGGGAGCTGTAGCTCAGCGGTAGGGCCTTATCTAGGATGTGGGAGGCCCCGATTTTATCCCAGCTCTGCCAAACACAGAACAACTTCTTATTGCAAGGCTCAGTCTCGGGGCCTTGGTGTGTCTCCTCTCATTTCCCTGGAGCCCAGGGCTTTCTGCCCTCCAGGTCACCCTGGGGTCCCGGAGCCTCTCAGAGCAGGGAGCTGCCAGGGCCTCCTGCAACCCTCGACCCGACCCGCAGTGTCTCCCAGGCGCAGCCCTGCTAGGCCCCTGAGTGGGGGAATTCCGGGTGCTGCCCTGGGCTTCCCCTCCCCACCTGGCCCATGAGCTCACTGACAGCTACAGAGCCAGTTGGAGAGACCAAGAAGAACTGGCCTTGGTGCCTGCTTCATCCAACTCCTGTACGCCGTGCCCCAGCCCTTTGGGGTCAACTCCTCATGTTACAGATGAGGAAGCTGCTATCTGCCCGAGGCCACACAGCAACTACATGAGAGAGGAGAATTGAGCCTCATTTTGTCCCCTAGGGTCTCACTATGTAGCCCAGGCTGGCCTCAAACTTGCAGTGATCTTCCTGCCTCAGCCTTCTGAGGGTTAGGATTATAAGCATGCACCAACATACCCAGCCAACAGCAGATTATCTTTACAAGTAAAAGGCCTGATGGTACTGAGGACACCACATCCCTCTGAGGTCTTCCTATCCAAAGCCTATAACCTGGATTAAATAAAATAACAGTGATAGTGTGTATGCGTGAAGGGGGCAAGAAATACAGAAAGTGTACAAAACCACGTGTGTAAATAATGGCACCCCAGGGACCCAGGGGCTGGGCCGCAGGTGGCAGCTCTTCAGCACGTCTGTGGCCGCCTGCCACAAGGGGGCGCTGTCGCGCCGTCCCGAGAGGCTGAGGGCGCTCACACCTGCCTTTGGGGTCTCCCTGAAGCCGTCGAGGACTTGGGATCCCATTTTCCAACATGAGGGCTGGGGATTTGGCTCAGTGGTTCCGCCGCCTGCCTCGCACGTGCAAGGGCCCGAGTTTGATCCCCGCTACCAAAAAAAAAAAAAATCCATCCTTTACCCGTTTTCCATCACGTAAGACACAGAGGGGCCCAGGTGAGGACGCGACTCAGGCCCCTACCCCAGTATCCACCCCCAGACTCCCCAGGCTGCGGGACACGGCCCCCCAGAAGGGCCACTGGGGAAATTTTGTTGCCTATGATGTCATCGCTTTACAGGAACCCCGAAAACGGGGTCAAGTTCATTGACACCTGCTGTTATGAAAGTGGTGCAAACCGTCTGGAGACCTAGCAGCTCCAGAAGACCTTGTTACCGTGGCAACCGGCTCGCTTGGCAAAGGTCTTGCCTGAGCTCACCCTGGGTGCGCGCTCAGCTGGCCTCTGACTGCGACAAGAGGGACAGCTCTGCCTTCCCAGGGCACGCCAGGTGTAAACTGGAGGGAGGCGGCACCAGGCGCTCCGGGGTCCATCCTGGCTCCAGGCTCCTCATGCTCCCCGGGAAGAGAGAGGCTTCTGGGATTTGGCCCCTGGCTTGGGAGGGGGGAAGCCCGAGCCCCCAGGGGGTCTTTTGGGTGGGGTTCCCCGCTGGCTGGAGGCTGAGCGAGGTCTCCCGAGGGGGCTGCACTGCGCAGCCCCAGCCCGGGCCGAGCCTGAGCGGCAGCACCGAGATAAAAACAGCAGCCTGAAACCTCGCACCGCTGGGCCGATTTCAGGTAGCTTTGGTTTTCCCTAGGACCTGCTAAATTTCACTTTCAAAAAGCCCCACTTGCTCTCTGCCGCTGGAGGGAAAGCAGCTGAGCCACACCTGTGGGAGACCAGCCGCAAGGTGAGTCAGATGCAAACTCCCCTGAAAGGGGCCAGGGCGGGCCGAGCAGGGTGAGCCCCGCCCCCACCGTGCAGGCTGGGAATGCGAAGCCCAGGCCCAGGCAGACCCGGCTGAACCGGGAGCCAGGAGTCCTTTGAACCCTGGGAAGTGCTAAAAAGAAGGAAGAGAAAAGCAAAGGTGTAAGTGTTGCATCGTTTGCTTCTGGCAGGGCAAGTAATTCTAATAACTAACAACTATTACCCCATTTTACGGATGGAAAAATGAAGACACGGGCAAGTTGAGAAAGTTTGCTTAAACCAGGCGTGGAGATGTGTGCCTGTCGTCCCAGCACTCTGGGAGGCTGAGGCAGAAGGATCGAAAATTCTAAGCCAGCCTGGACACCTTAGCAAGATCCTGTGTGAAAATAAAACAGTATATAAAAGGGCTGAGGATGTAGCTCAGGGTGGAGGTCCTGGGTTCAGTCCCCAGTACTGCAAAAAAGAAAGAAGAAAAGGCAGGGTAGGGGCTGGGGATTTAGCTCAGCGGTTCGGTGGCCTGCCTTGCAAGCGCAAGGACCTGAGGTCCTGCCTCTGGCTTGCATTTTTCTCCACACCCACCAGCTCTTTCTCCCCTCCCTGCCATGTGGATGGGACAGTGGCCATCTGAGGGTCCCCTCCCCCTGTGCCCAATCCCACTCTCAGCGCAGACCAGGGGGCCTGTGACGGCACAAAGCCACTGTCCTCTCCTCTCCTCCACTCCACAGGAGACACTCCTAGTTTCCAACACGATCCCCAAGCCGGGTCCTGACCAGCCCGGCCCTCTGGCCCTGCCCCATACCTCCTTGCTCCCTCCAACAGCTGAGCCGACCCCACTCCCTTTAGCCCTGCACCCACTCGGCCTGGGGACTCCCTGATGGGTGCCACTTCCTAGAGGACACTCAAGGTGTCCCAGGACCGCCTGTGTCCTTCCGGGAGGTGCTCGAGGCTGAAGGCCCTGGTCTTGTCGCCTTGCTGCTGGCCAACAAGAGGGCCGTGCCAGCCTCCCCCAGACCCGAAGCCCTGTTATGTTCAGGACATGGTTCAGTGTGGCCCCAAATCATTCATGCGTTAGAAGCACGGACCCCAAGGTGGCAGACTTGGAAGGTGATGGAACATTTAAAGGTGAGTGCGGTGGGAGGTGATGGGGCATCAGAGGGACTAAAGCTTCTCTTGTCCTGCAGGAGTGGGTGCTCAGGTAAAGAGCAAGTCCAGCCGCCTGTGCTCTCAGGTGATGGGGTTGTGGGGCTCATTACGGACTTGTTGTTTGAAGGCGAAACCTGGTCAAAAGAGGCAGCTGTGGGGGCGTGGCCTGGGCCTGTCCATCTTCCTCTAGGCCCCACCCTTTGCTCGCCACTTCCTTCCTTTCCACCGTGAGGTGAGCAGCTGTTCCTCCGCCATGTAACTCTGTTCCCTGCCCTCCCGCCTTGGAACCAGCTGACTACACAGAAACTGAGCCAAAGTGCTGGGGACTTGGCTCAGTGGTGCTGCACCTGCCTCACCAGCGCAAGGTCCTGAGTTTGATCCCTGGTACAGGAAGAAAGAGGAGGGGGGAACTGGGTGGGGAGAGGGAAAAAGAGAGAGAGAGAGGGAGAGAGGGAGAGAGGAATGAAGGAAGGAAAGAAGGAAGGGAGGGAGGGAGGGAAGAAGGGCCAAAATAAACCTCTCCTCCTCTGAGTTGCTGGTGTTGGATGTTTTGTCCCAGTGATGAGGAAAGTGACTAAGACACAGGACTTCTGTGACTAGGTTGGGCCAACCCATGACTAAAATCCCCGTCCCACGCACCTCACATCCACGGACTCCTGTTTGGCCAAGATTAGGTAACGCAGGCTCCAGGATCCGGGTGTGGACACTTAGGTGACTAGGAAGCTGGTGACCCACCTGCTAGTGAGGAAATCCCACAACTTACAGGGCTGTAAGCCCTGGGGGACCCCAGACCTCTCTCACCCTGAGCTCCAGGCCAGGCAACACCTGAGGTTGAAGTCATCAACCCGGCCTTGAACACACTGCAGGGTCACCATTTGGCCCCAGGCACAGACGGCTTCCTTCAGGCTCTCTCTCCTACGGGCAGGATCCCTGTCACGTCCCCCCAGCTGTGGTCAGCAGGACAGCACTCCCAAAGATGTCCACCCCCAGAATCTATCCCTGTGCCACCTCTCATGGCAAAGGGGATGAAGGTGGCTGATGGAGTGAAGGCTGCTCATCCTCTGGCTTTCAGAGGATCCTGGGTCATCTGGGTGGACCCATTCATCACAACAACCTTAAAAATGCAACACACTCATGCGGTGGCATTCTGGGAGGCTGAGGCAGAAAGATCCCAAGTTTGAGCACAGCCTGAACAACATAGTAACTTAGCAAGATCCTCTCTTAAAGGATTTTTTAAAGTGGGGTCTTTTGTTGTTGTTTGTTTGTTTGTTTTTGAGATAGAGTCTCACTATGAACACCAAGGTGGCCTAGAACTCACAGTGATCTATCTGCGTCAGCCTGCTGAGTGCTGGGGTTACAGGTGTGCACCATCATGCCTGGAAAATAAATATTTTTAAGGGCTGAGAATGTAGCTCACTATAAAGAACCTGGGTTCAACACCCGGTACTATAAAAAAAAATGTTTAAAAAGCAAAACATAAGACAGAGGCAAAAGAGAGACTCAAAGACTCGGAAAAAGAGATTTGGATAGTGACAGAAACGGAGTCAGAGAGATGCTGCGGTGCGGGCAGTGAAAGTGGGGGAAGCAGCCTGAGCCGGGGAATTCAGGCAGCCTCAGCAGCCGGAAGAACCAGGTAAAGGACTGTGCCCTGAGCTGGACAGGAGCTCAGCCCTGCTGCATCTTGCTGAGCCCCAGAGCAGCCATCTGGGACTTATCCCTGTAATCCCAGCACTCGAGAGGCTGAGGCAAGAGGATCGCCACAAGTTCAAGGGCTACACAGGGAGACCCTGTTTCACACACACACACACACACGTCCAGCCCAAGAGACTTAGCTAGAACCTGTATCAAAAATTAAAAATAAAAAGGGCTGGGGATCTAGCTCAGTGTGAAGGCCCTGGATTCAATCCAGGACAGGAAAGAAAAGGGGGTGGAGCCTGGGTCTCCAGGGGGCGCTGTGGCTCTCTGACCCCTAAGGAGGGGCTTGGGTCGCCCAGGGGGTTGGTGTGCGGCCTTGATGTTTCCTTGCAGGCCTGCGCCCAGGGAGGGTGGCGGGGATCAGGCCTCGTCAGAGGGAGGGGATGCAGCCTACAGCGCGTTCACATGGGAAGGCGAAGGTTCCATTAGGGCTTTTGTGGTCCTGAAGGGTTGAACCCAGGGCCGCATCTGGCACACAGCGGGCAAGTAGAGAGTGAATAAAGACTAGCGGCCGTGGGCGATGCCTCCTGGAGCTGTCAGCCCCCAGCCGATCAGAGGACCCCAGTGGAAGCTGCCAGGCGGTGGGCGGGTGTGGCTTAGCGCCAGAGCCCTGGCCGGACAGGCCTGGGGCCTGGGTTCCATCCCCAGCATGGAGGAAGGGGTGCGGGAGACTTGCGATTCTCCGGCCTCAGCCTCCCAGGGTGCTGGGACCCCGTCTCACCAGAGCCCTCGGGAGCAGATGAGGACATGGCGCATGCGCAATGATGAGCCGCGGCGCTGGCTCTACTCAGTTTCAGCGTGCACCCCAAAAGCTGTGCTGAACTCAACCCCCAGCACAAAAGCTATGACAGCATCAAGCGGTGCAGCCTCTCCAAAGATTTTTCTGTTTGTTTCATTCTGAGACAGGGTCTCCCTAAATTGCTAAATTTCCAAGCTGACCATCAACTTGCAATCCTCCTGCCTCAACCTCCCGGGTGCTGGGACTACAGATGTGGGCCACCACACCCAGCTTTAGGCCTCTGAGTTTGATCTCCTGTTCTCCTTCTGGCCTCTTTGCCCTTCTGCCATGAATGATCATCGAAAAGAACCTCAATGGACTTTCCAACCTCCAGAAGTATAAGGAAGAAATTTCTTTTCTTTATAAATTCCTTAGTCTGTGGCATCGTGGTTGGTTTGTTTTGAGACAAGGCCTCTATATTGGTGCAGGCCATCATCTAGCTCACAGCGATCCTCCTGCCTCAGCCTCCAAGTGTTAGAATTACAGGCATGTACCACTATGCCCGACTATGGTCCCATTTCGTGGATGGAGAAACCAAAATACACAGAGGTGACTTATGGTGTCTGATGCAAGGTGTGAACAGAGTAGGCTGACTAAAAAGCCCAAACCCCTGCCTGGACATTGAACCATCTCCCCAAACAGACAGAGGGCAGATTCAGCACAGTGAAATGTTTGCAGTAGGTAAAACAGCGGCCTCCCAGCGAAGTTGCACCCCGGTTCCCAGACTGGCCGAGTTCAGGCTCAAAGCGAGTGCCACGCTGGGTTATCCGTGGGTCCAGGCAACCACAGGTGGTTCATGGAGGTAGGCAGAACCCAGGCAAGAGCGAAGGTGGTGACGACCAGGGGCACAGGCCGCTGGAAAAAGCACAGAAACAGATTCGGCAGAGAGGTGACGCGGCCCTGTCAGCTCATTTTAAACTCCTGGCCCCAGAGCTGTAAGAGACTAACCCGGTTTGTGACAATTTGTTTCAGCAGCAAGAGCTCTTGGGCCACCTTAACGGAAGTAGGTGACTCCGTAAGA